TGACTGTCAAACTTGGATATTTCTAATTATTCAGAGTAAATATTAGTCGACTAGAACTAATTACTAGAACATGATTTTCTTTTTAATAATCTAATCCATGATCTCTGATCTATGAACCTTGGTGATTAAATCAATCGAAAAACTCACAACAATTAATAAAATCAATGATGTTTTACTCATCATAAGAATGTAATTTGGAGAGAGAGAGAGAGAGAGAAAGAAAGAAAGAAAAAGAAAAAGAGAAACAGAGAAAGAAAGAAAAAACAATATTTAGTTTCATACATTCAATCAAGTTGATTTTTTGGTGAAAATATATGTAATATACATTTAAGAAAAACAATGTATACGATCCAAGTACTTTACTTATTGTAAAATTGTATCTATGTAAGTAGTTAGTCATTTCAATACATAAAAATGTATATATCAGTATAATGTGTGCTTGCGTATAAAATGTTCTTTAATTGAGTAAGAAATATGTATTCATTATCAAAATGACTGAAAATCATATTGTTGCTAGTCTATTTATAGAGTTATTTTATATATTTTTAGCCATTACATTTGAGCATACATGTATATGTGTGATTTTCTTAATTCGTTGTAATACTTACTTTTTTATTTTTTATTTCAACACATACATAATGGTACAAAGAGGCACCAAATACATATGCGCCACACAAATCTCATTCGATATGTGTGAGGGCTGTGATACTGCCCGGGTGCCCAAACCGAAGCAGGTGGTTTTCTTAGGGGGCTTACTTAGTACTATTCTAGTCACATATATATGTGTATATATATACTAGTAAAAGTCGTAGGGGAGGGTATCAAATATAGAGATGAATCAAGAAAAAAGAACCAATACACAGGATAAAAAGTATTGTTTTGAACTAAATTGCATCAAGACTGATAAATTTAAAAGGAATTAAACATCATTATTTTAGCCTAGTTTGGTACTGTGTAATTAACGAGTAACCATGAAGATGATGGTGCCATATTACATTTTGATTGAGCTTGAAAATGTGGATCGCTGGATTGTGATTTTTGTAGTTTATATCATTGACTGACCTAACGTATGGTGCAACTGAAAAACATCAGAAAGCACAGGGAAGATGTTTCGTCCTAGTACAGGACCCCTTGTAAGGTAGTGGCTTAATGATTAAAGTATTCGATTTTTGATCACCATGCCCCGGGTTCTAAATCCGCTCCACTTATTCCAACTAGGGTAACCGGATAGCATTATTATTGCCCACATTTATAGTATGGCTTATACACAGGTACTAGTGGAGTTAGTTAATTTAAATTTCGAAAATCTGATGGGACTTCTTAACAGTATGCACCAGCGACTGAACCGTAAATCGAACTCAGGACAGTGAGCACCTGACCTTTAATCACTGAAGTGTCATACAACAACTTTGATTTTCTGACCCAATAGCATCATCCTTACTGCAGTTAGATCATGGCAATATCGTCCATGTACATTACTGAGTTATTCAAAACTAAGACAAAACAGCTATTCAGCACTCCTCTGATTCTTAACAATTTACCAGTTGATATATGTGTGCAATAAAAATTAACATCAAATTGAAATAAGCGCCATAAATTTCTTAACTTTGAATTAATATCATTAAATCAAGGTTAACTAAAGCCGATCTGTGTACAGTCGACTACTAGCCAACAAAATTGGCATCAAAAATGTCTATTCAGAATACAAACTATATGAATGAAAAAAGTATGCAATGGTCAATAAAAAAACTCAGTGTACAAGTCTATCTAATAAATGTAAGGAGTACAAACCACACATACAAACATAGGGAGTGAGATATATGTACAAGCTGAATTATAGGTCACATACCCTAATTGGGGATAAATAATTATATCTTAATTAAATAGTAATAATAATAATAATGGTAATAGTAATAAATTTACTGTAATTAATCCTAATAACATGAATGTAGGTGAACCAAGTAACAAACCATTATGTATCTATCTGTTAACTGAACATCGGATAAGCGGAACAAAGCTTATCCATCCATATTGACCATAAAGTACTTTTATACGAGAATAACGTTGTATATTTCACTTATGACTCCTCACAGAACTCAATATTATGCCTTTTGTCCTGTTTGAGACTGGTCAGTTAAGTGTATCTATTCATATCAGTGATGTTGACATTAAAACTCAAGCCCAGTGAGTAGGACTTCCCTAGCAGTGGCTGTATACGTCAGCTTTTCACATGTGAAACCTAATGATACAGTTTTTAAAAAAAGCGGGGTTCGAATTCACCAACACATTAGTTGCAATCCAAACTACACTAAGCCATTACATCTGAGTTAGTTTCCACAAGACTAGAATAAAACAGATCAAACTAAAATAAACTAATTACTACTTTATTGTATTCTATGTATTTAGAGGGACAGACAGATAGTCACGTACAAAAATATATTCTCTGAAAATTTAGCGATTATTTATAAAAATCTAAAACAATCTGTCTGATGTTGTGTCCATTCCAATAATTTGATACGGATTAAATATGGCGGGCGCCTATAGATGATGTATACTCATAGTGTCACTACTACTAATATTACTACTGATTGTGTAAACAACTCGGAAAATACAATAATTTCTACAACTTATCACGGAGAAATTTTATTCTTTAGTTTATTTTAAAATACACGATCTCAACAGAGGGACAAAATAAAGAACTAGTGTTAACGCAGACATATACAAAGAAAGAGCATAGATATGTATGTCGTGTTATTAATTATATAATCACTAGTAGCAGTATTAATGGAAAATTAGTGTTTTGAAAAGAAAGTGTTTTGAAATAAACCAGATATAAGTTAATGATTTTTGTTAAGTATATCTATATTATGTGGTGTGTATTTGTGTGTTATAAAATATTACTAGTCTTAAACTGGCAATAAGTATAGTTTAAAGAACAATCATATCCTAATAAGTTGGTCAAATAAGGTACCTGATAACTTATTTACCAAACACATACAGGTTTATGTAATCGGGTTTAGGTTACAATTCTTTGTATGTAGACTAATGATATTACTTAGGACTTCCAAAGCGAGTCAAATATAGAATGATTTGAACCTGAGACTTATTGATTGCAATTCGAGGTTTAAAAATTTCCCAACGACTGATAGAACTAGAATAATGATTGGGATAGGGGGCACAACAGTCCGCAGTGCAAACTGATGAATAAATGTAACCAGTGTCTCAGGAACCATATTCAGTAGGTAGCATACAATCTCGCAAACGACTAGGACTATCAGTCAACAATCTCACAGAATTTTCATTATAATATAATACATTCATCAATGACAGGGTTCTGTCGTCTATGTCAGATCATGCTTTTGTTAGTGACGGGAATTCATACTATCAGGGCTGCTCAGACTGTGGTAGGTGGAGCAAGCATCGAATTCGTAACCAGGTAGTTCAAAGATGAGTGGCTTGCTTATTAGGTTACCACCTTGTAAAACTCAAAGGACTTTAAACTGGATACTATGTCTAGTAATATGTCACAGTTTAAAGTATCCATCAGTATAAACAATTTTTTATACATTGAAGGCTACGACTACTGAAAGAAACTTTCAATGGTTGTAAAAAAGTAAGAAGTATACCGTGAAAATTCCATATAAATGTCTTATCAATATGTCAGTCAATTTTTGTTGCCTAAATATTAACTATGATGTCATTTATAGTAAATATTTTTAAAAATCAATTTATTGCCTAACATAGGCGGTTAAAGTAGCCATCAAGAAGCACGTTAAACTTAATAAATTGCTTACCTTTCCTAAGAAAACACGGGCTTCAGTGCTAATAAAGAGATCTCATCCACATTTTATCAATAAAATTAAAGAAATCCACCTTGGTTTTAGTTGGATATTCGGTGGAAGTTTTGTTGTGCTGATTAAAGCTGACAAATCGACCTTAGGATTTAAGTTGTTTTTCCTAGTTTTTCGACCTGCTATGAATTCTGTTTGAAGACGTTTGGTGATGCAGCTTACAATCAATCACAGTGATACAGATATATGAACTTTATATCTTTCCACCTAAATTCTGAGTTTTAATATTATTTCTGACGTTCTACTCCTCGACTCCCTCGTTTCTTTTGAAAAAGCATTCCCCAAGGAAGTGTTGAGTTAAGGTTTCACCAAAAAAACGAACACTCAAACCTATATACATCCAATTTCTGAGTAACGAGTATGGTTGGGAACAAATATGGATTTCATTCCTAGCATTTACAGAACGCTACAAGCCTTAATTTCGACTGATATGACTTGTGTACGTTCAAATCATGAAAAATAACCCTTTTCAGAGGTAAAACTAACAATGAAAGAGTTATTAATGGTGATACGAAATGTTTGGTTTCCGGAAAAAAAATGTAAGAATTAACAAAATTATTCTTTGAAGAGAAACTCAACTGGCATGAATAAAAAGTAGCTGATGAACGTAATTTAACAGCTAGCCATAAAATTGTGTATAGAAGTTTTGTTAAAAGTCGAGATGCGACTTGGTGCTCCAGACATTCGACTCTCAAACGGCAGATGGAACACTGAAGTCAGTCAATCATAATGTTCAACATGTCACATAAGTGCAGTGGTTCCCACACAGCACAGCAAGATGGCATTATTGAGGCATTTCCCATAGTAGCAGAACAAATGTCAATAGTAGAAGAAAAGACCAGGTATAAATGATATGAAAGATAGAATAAACTCGCATAATAAGAAGAATCAGTATTTTGAGACAACCAGTGAACCCATCTCTGTGACTGTAGAAGATTCTGAGCCACATCATACTATTGGCAGATCTAAGCGTAACTTCAATTATTTCAGTTAAGACAATCACATATGGCTGCACATGACTATACTTGATCACTGAGTGGCGAAACTACTTTAAATAATAATATTGTTTAATATAGATAAGTACCTATCCAAATTTTGGACAAAGATATTCCAGTTATAATTTAAAATCCAAGCAAAAATGTAACTCACCATCTTGTGGAGATGTTTTAAGTAATCGACATAATCCTACAACTCCACCGTATTTTTCATTAAGATATTTAACAGCCTCCAATTTACGACAGTCCATTAATTTCTGTAGATCTTTAGTGGAAATTTCGAATGAATCTGCACCACCAGTACCAGTGGTGAGTGCAGTTCGTTCGTTTGCATTTGCGTCGCGCATAGTATTTGTTTAGTTTAAAATGTCTCTGATAATGAATTACTTCAGTGTTTTAGAGATATGACAAGAATGAAATATTCAGAAATCCGAACGTCTGTTATCCTGTTAAATAAAAATAAAACAAAGGTAAAGAAACCAATTCATTCTGAAAATAAAAAAGAAAAAATTATCTGACTTATAGTACTTAATTAACTTGGAGTTCGTATTACATAATTTGTGACCGTTTTAAGAATGACACTTATGATCTACTAAGATGTAGAAGCTTTAAGAAAAATTAACAGCATAGTGGTAACGAAAATACGCATTGTGTAGGAAGATAAGTTCTGTTAGTTTAAGAAATAATCGGAGTGAAATTTCTCCAGTAATTTAAGCTGAATTCAATAGACCAGACATGAGTATGCTTAATATCAACTAATAACCCTTATTCCGATTTTGTAAATAGTTAGTAATGATTTCAAGGATTCTCATAAATAAACGATCAATAAAGAAGATACAGTTAAATAACCAGTCATTTCTGAGTGAACGACTCCACTTAGTGTTTGATTTTTACTTTATTTATGTTGCAGATTTAAAACAGAAACATAAAAACGACGGCTTAATGTTCACTAATCACCAGTTATTATTGTGTTAACCAAAACATAACATGCAATATGACATATATTCAATAAATGTTGAACATAGAAACATTTGCACTTGTTCATAAATACGAAGCGTCAGTTTCGTTACGTTTTATACCATACATATATCACATGCGAGAAATACAAAGAGGCGTTCTTTAAAACAACTGCTAAATTACTGCATGAAACAATCAGGCAAACGATGAAGAATCTGGGACAAAACTGTCAGTTAGGAGTACAATAACCTGAGTTTGTTTCCAAACGGTTGGCATGAAGTATGAAATATTAGTATAAGCTTACTAAAAATTAATTCCAAGTAAACCTTGTCTAAATGTTTGATTAGACAGTACATTTTACCTCGTCACCACACTAGTTGCCTCAATAGCTTATGACGAGTGTTTCGCCCAGTTTAACAAAAGATGAGTTCCAAAGGAATTGTTATAGAGTAACATTGAATAGAATAAGACTTTTAAAAAAGCACTATTTAACATCAATGTAACCAGTGCACAACAACTATTTTGGAATCAAGAATCAGGTTATTTGCATTACGAACATAACACATTTTTTTCAATAGGGAAATAAGCTTAAAACCTAATATCAGGTTTTGTCTAGGATAGCAAATAATAATAATTTAGCATAAGTTATCACTATCATCTAACCATAAGTCAGACTATATTGTCAGTGGTAGAACTTAGAAAAATATGATTCTAAACGAAATAATCAACCTTAACAGATTTATTACAAATCAATACATCGAACACCGTCCGAGTTAGGGTTCATTTAAATCGAGGATATTCAAAATACAAGTAGTTTTCTCGAATATACGTGAACCGATAAGTAAGTGGTAAAAAACCGCATGTAAGACAGGCGACTTGAGGGGCAACCGAAATATATAGGATACTTTTCAAGATATGTGGCAAAATTTCATCTACTACACACACAGAAAATATTAATTTGGCCGTTACTAAAAGAGCCTTTTAGAATAAATCCGAGCGGCAAATTTAAAAACACACTTGCCATCTATATGAAATACAAAAATAGTTCTGAAATAGTTTAAAAAACGCACGACCACGGAAACGACACACTACCCACATACATTGAACGAAAAACCGGCTTGTTTTGAGCGCAAAGTCAACAACGAGTATTCTTGAAACATAGAAACAAATGAGACAGTGTCCAACCTGAAGCTAATAACAGAATAGAATACCGGAATGAAAGATATGGGAAATATGATTGCAATTGAAGACTGCTTTTTCTTTATCCTAATTGCTCCATATGACAACCCAATTTTTGTTTCATGAGCATTAGTCATCAATAGTACGGATGAGAGGTCAGACGACCTATATTATTACTTTGAATTTACAGGACTGCAAAGATTCAATCTGTATTTAAATGTGTTTCAAAGATATTCGCGTATTACATGTTACAGTAGAGAATTCCACCGATACTACTCGGAATTACAGACGTAAGCGAATTGATCTCAGTTTTTGAAATTTCGCAGAATGTCCTCTTAGATGGACAGTCCTTCATAAAAGAGAAAAATAAGACAAATCGATAACCAACTGACGCTCAGAATACGGTGAGCAAATACTAGATCACCTCATACCCTGCCGAAAAATAATGGGAATATGTTGAGACTTCTCACTCCATCTTCATAAGATAGACCACACAGAACTTTTACCATTTTGGTTCCTCGCCATTGAAACCATCCTATAGTATAGTACAGTACCATTAATGTTTCTTCGTCCAAATTGTGAAATGACTTACTAATGACCCGAAACACCTTGAAGTTCTTGGCAGTGACAGCCTAACAGTTACACATAGTTATGACGTTGGTTATGACTCATTGATCTTTATAGTCCACTACTTTAGGTAACATGACCACACATTTTGTGTATAATATGAATCATCGCAGTTATTTATTTGCATCGCCACTCTCTTGTTGGAGTTAACTTTTAATGACTAACCACAGTTCTGTTCAGCTAGTGATTTTAGGTCATCCTGTAATATTATTCTACCTGAAATACTGTGTATGGGTTTTCAAATGTTTTTTCATTTGCAATAAGTAGAACAGATGACACTGCTACATTTTTTAAATCAGATAAAAAATCAAAAAGACGGCCGTGGATTGTACTTTGAGGAACTTTATACAGATTTCTAGATTGATAGAACCTCATTTATGAAAATCATGAAAAACGGAATATCCATACCTTTCGCTGCAACCTAATGTTCTCGTGTAATGGGCAGATTTGCCAAGCATGTTAGACTTTTCCTAAAATCGTGTTGTTCCCTGGACAAAATATTATATACTGCCATATAGTTTAGAATGGCCATCTGAATAATCTTTTCCATAGGTTGACAATTATACTGATCAGACTATCACGTCGATGGTTATTAGATCTCCTTAGCCTGCTTTATAGTTGACCGAATATCGTGTCCTTTCAGACTCTTAGCAGTCTTAACCACCACGAAGACATACCAGATAGTATCGACAGGGGTTCATCGGTTACATCCAGCACGGATTTCATAGTGGATGTCGTCAGGACCGCAAGACATATCTGGTTTCATTTGCTGAAGTAATTGTAATGTAGTCTTTTTACTGGTAACCTCAGAATCGGTTGACAAGCCGCCATTACCACAACTAATCGATAGTCTTTCATTGTTGTCAATAAGAAACATTTTATTAAAATGTTCTGATAATACTTTGGCTTTAACAACATCATTTCTTGCCAGTATGAACGAGTTTACTCGAAGTCAAAGTGGTGGGATTCCATCACCTTGATTGAGCCTCTTTATTTATTATTGACTAAATTCAGAATCCCTTCATATGATTCTAGCTTTGCATATTAATGCCTTGACAACATTCTAGACCTTGAAGCAAGTAAATATGTTCAGAGCATGTGGGGACAAACATGCTTTAACGCATTTTCTCACATCTGAGAAATTTTACAAACTCTTTGGGTATCCATGTTCGTTAGTTAATTGGTCTACAGAAGAACAAGCATGATATAAGTGTTGATGTAACCAAGTGTACCTTTAAATATGAACTGTACTACTTCAAATGATGGGCTGGTATTTGCTGACCACTCCGTTGTCGCAGTATATTCCTCTATGGCTACCATGTTTGCCCTTCACACAGTTAACCTAGGCCTAATGTGAACGTCTCTCATGTCACAGGCTCTAAACGTGAACGAATAAAGCATGATCGTTATTTAACAACAATGGGAGAACAGATAGACAGGCAATATCTTATGCTTAGATGAGTGGTTTTGATCTGTCCACTAACAATCCTATTTCATGGAATTTACCTCCTAGTCTACGACCATAAACTCCATAAATTGAACAACATACGCACCCAACACCCGACTACTCGAAAACCTACTTAGCGGAGAATTTCTTCACCATTTTGGAGGTGTGTTTTAGTTCAGCTAGTGACACCTTGCTTTCCATTCTATCTTCTAGAGACATATTATGCTTCACCCTTACTTCGGTGTTACTTTCACCTAGAACAGCAATAAACAAAAGATTCTGTTATTCAATTGACGGTAGAATTCGTCGGTTCTATCACCTGTTATTGCCGATATTTTTATCCCAACTTCAGTAAAGTTATTTGGGGAAATGTAACAAATGAATGATCTGAACTCTTCCAAATAGCGATTATGTCTTACATCTGGGTCAGGGTCGTTTGTCTCTAGCAATTTATCTACAATAATTTTGGAACTTTAACGGGGTATTCTGTGACAGAATGAGAGTCTGCGAAAAGCCTATAAACAAACCAAATATTATTTGTGGCTATTTCCTTCTCTCCGTTGTGTCCTAATTTTCATTTATTTCACATCACCTGATACAGTCACGACGAGACTACTTTGAACGAAACCGTTGTTTCCGGATTTTCGCTTTGCACGCTAAATCCATGACCATCAACATCTACTGGAATTTCGCTCATCATTTGCCTCAAAGAAGATTTAACTTTCCCATTGTAATGTCTGATTTGAATGTTTTGTGTGTGAGTAAAAATCCCTCCATGTAAACACTTGCACTTGTTCCTATTAATCCTCTTAGTTGTACATTGTTAGTTTTTTGATTACATTTGAACTGTTAATGTTTGTATTTTTTATTATAGTTTTTATTTTTCTTACGTCTTCACTAAGTTTTTGTGTTTCTTCCCGAACTTCATCTATGTTGTTTTACTTGATACTTGTTCTTGGCGGCAGCCATATTGATTTGCTCCTCCTTTTGCGCGTGTTCTATCCAGTCAGGATAGAATAGCGTTCATTTGTTGTGACTGGTAATTTCTCACGCATGTTTTATCAACTTCTTTATTTATTGTAATTTAGATTTGAGTGATTGAAAAATTATTGGTTGAATAGCCGGGTGGTAATATTTGTTTAGGTAACGATGTACATTTAAATTTATGATGAATTATAGAACCGTCGTTTACCCGATTACTTGTTTTGATTTTGACGGGCAAGAGCGCGTGTCTAACCTACCTGAACGGTTATTCTTCAGTCCCAACCGTAGTTTGGATTCTATAAATCCTTCACTAAATTTCGTTCGTGTAGGTTTATAATGATTATTTTATCCGCTGGAGTTAGGATTGAGCAAGCTGTAATAACATGATAAAAACACCTCAGATACACCACAAATTTCGTTATTGGATAAATGTTAAGCTTTGTTTTCAATTGATGTTAGCGACAACACTGAGTGCTCTGTCTTATTCAACCAGGCTCATTCAGCAGCCATTATTTACTCATAGAATACCCTATTATTTCCCAGTGGTAGTCACGGTTTATTGCTTGTTGTTCTAATTCTACTCCTCATTGTTGACCATAATAATCCCGTGTGCTCCACAGTTAGCAGTGTAAAGGCTGACGTCAATGCATCTGAGGTATATCAACCAACGGTTTAATTTGTTTGAAGTGGAGTTCAGCTCACTGGTGCTTATATATCTGTTTTGGTTAAGTTTGATGGTGTTCTTTTTCGCTGATTATTGTTTACGTGTCACATTTTTTAGGTCAAGGATAGTAAGTTAGCGAGAAGAAGTATTACCGCTGTCCAGGTATACTTATATAATCTTTAACAAACGGAAACAGTTGCTATGTTCGAGCGGTCAAGACATGTGAATGTTGTAAACAAAGTCGAATCCTGCCTGACCGTTTGTTCGATTTTGGTCTTTACAGCTATTAAGTTATCTGGACAAAATCTACACTTGGCATCAGTGAAATTATCGACACAACTGTCGTATAAGAAATAACAACAATTTTCGGCCAAATTGACGTTTGTTTAAGTTCAAGGAATTTACAATTAGGTAAGGCATCTAATCCGAGAGTGTTAGTTTTTAGACAACTTGATAAATCATATTCAGCAAAGTGGCAGACGTAAGTTGGTGCATCAAGTAGAATAAACGGGCAAGTTCGTATGACCTATGGACCTTGCCAGCTATCGATAATACCCTCGACGATCATACACTTCTTTTACTCCTCGTAATAGAGAAAAACAATCGTTATGACACACACAAACTTGCTTAAGTTCATTTCCTCATATTCAGGACCTATGAAAATCTACAGCGAACTAAGTATTATTCTACATGATTTCAGTCAGTTTTCCAATTTTGTTTATTGCTGATGCTGATCAAAAGCGGAACCATTTTAAATGCACTTATCAAGCATCTTGGTAATCCATTTTCTATGGTCGCGTGGTTATCAACCCAGCTATTTTATTTGGTTACATCGTTTGGTGTTTCATTGTGCAGAACTCTTACTAGACACGCAAAATTCGAAATATTAGTATGTGATTATTGTCGGTTCAAGAACTGTTTTCAGAATTTTCTTAGGTTTTTAAAGAATTAAGTTAACCCCATTCTTACAAGTCACTTATTACATTGGTGTAAAACGTTTTCAGTGCCAATCATAGTTTGTTTCCTCAACCCTTACTGCTACGTTTAAATTTTGAATCACGGTCACTCGATACGCTATTGACTTACGACACAAATAGCAAGAGAACCTATTGCCACTTTAGGTTCCAAAATTTTATTCTCAAATTACTAGAAACAATAATAAAAATAATTTTAAGGTAAAGTTCGGTATTTAGTTTTGTCGGACAAATTTTACGAAACGCCGATTCAAAACATGGTAGTGGAAAGATAACTTAAATCCACCAATATCTGTAGGGCAGAACATTCTTTT